CTATATTTCTAGTATAATCCTTGTCATTAAGCTAAAGAAAAATAGTGCAGTTTAATAAATCTGAATCACTGTGGATAACGTACACAGGGCTTTATCCTAATTGAAGTTTTCCTGTGTCTGTAGGATGTTGAATCTGACGGTGCTAAGGCCTTCGAGAAGGCAGCTGAAGCCACAGACGACGTCCCCTTCGCCTTGGCCGCCAACGATGACATTTTCGCCAAGTTCGAGGTATCCAAGGACAGCGTTGTCCTCTTCAAGAAGGTGAGTTGGCATGGATGGCACAGTACACGTTTACATGGATGCATATGCAAACCTTAGGACAAACTGTTCATACAAGACATATTGTGACAGATTCCTCGGTAGTAAATATTTGACATGTTTACTTGGAGTCATGTTGTAATGCAAATAGGTTAGTGGCCTTGCCTCGCTTGTGTAATCGTTAGCAGACAATCTGCTGGAGACAGCGCAGTGTGTTCGATGGTAATGTGATGCTGTCGACCTCACAGTATCCGCTCTCTGTTGCTAATCTCGGCTGCTCGGAGGTTTTTGTTGTGCACCTGCATTTGGGCTTGTTGCTCGCCCCGCTCATGTGGATGACCTCAGCATGTTGAGCTAATGGTGATGAAGGGATAAGAGCTGCATTAGATGATGGTGCGTCTTTAAACCAGCACCAGAGGATGAGTGAATGGCAGCTCAGTCAGGTCCAAATAGGCCATTTTTCCTCCTTTCCATGTTGTAGATCATTGCATTTCCACTATTTTCTACTTTTTAAATCAGACCTGATGCTACTAATTAACTACAAACATCCCTCAGAAATCCTTTAACTAACCTATCATAACAACAGTATCTCAATCCACGTGTAGATTTGTCAAATTGGGTCAAGGTCCAGTAGGTCCGTCAATAAGAAATTAAGCAACCGGATAAAGGGAGGGTGTAATTTACCTTTCAAAATGTCTGGCTCAGAACAGAAAATGACTCGACTTGCGGCGTAATAGCTCTACTTGGAGGCGGTTTAGCACTAGCTGAAACATTTATTTGATGTTGCCATGCTTAAATATGACTACATCTCTTGAGTGTTCTTGCTAGAAGATAACATATTTGGAACTCATACGCAGCCTCTCTAATGGAGATGTGGACTTAAGGAATTGAAAAGAATAATCAAACAATAATGTGGTGTTTTTTGTTTAACCTTTTCACTGAGTTTCTGCTCAGTGCAAGCTTCCTTTTCTTTCAATTCTTACCACTCTTAAGGTTGTTTTCCCACATCAGGAAACATCTCTAATTACTCACCGAACGATACCTGCTCTGCACCAAACAGACATAGACAAATAGTGAACATATTGGATCTCGTATCAGCTCTTAGTCAGATATTCCTCCCAGGAGTTGGCAAAATGTGTGTATTTTGCTACTGGATGTTTATTTAATGTCCTATATGAGTGTAGTTCATTTCTAATACTTAGCTAATTGTTTCACACAGTTTGATTTTATATATTTAACATTTCTGCTTTATCACAGTTTTTTTCTACAATTTTGTAGTATGAAATAATAATTTCCTGCATCTCATTCAACCAATTCTAAATATTTTTAGTGCGTTTCTGCACTCAGACCTTGAGTTAGTGATGATCTTGGGCTCAGACCTCCCCCTGCTGTTGTCTGGCGTCTGATCCACGTTAGTAACTCCAACCCGATCCAAACACCGCTAACGTGTGCTTGTTGCCGACAGATAGAACAACACTCCTAAAGCAGGGGCTCTGTCTCAATAAACAGCTGGCCTCCGTCACTTGTTTACTGCAGCAGAGTTTGTGGCTTAAGTTTCACGGCCTGGTCTGTTCCCTGAAGGCTGGCAGCACGCCACTGGCCAAATGTCCAGATTTTCAATTGTGTGCCACTGCCAGTAAGAGCTGCTCGGCCACCACTGCTATTCTTACCACTTAATACAAGTCCACTGGGGCTGTTGGCTCTGTCACCAGCTGGGGTTTACCAGGGGATTTTAAAGTGGTTTGCCTTGTAAATCTATATCAGGCAGTCTATACGGGCTGATAGTATTTGTATCTTAATGTTTCCATGTTTCCTTTGCAGTTTGATGAAGGGCGAAACACCTTTGACGGAGAGCTGACCAAAGAAGACCTCCTGGCTTTTGTTAAGTCCAACCAGCTGCCTCTGGTCATCGAGTTCACCGAGCAGGTAATGAGCCATGCACATCAGCGGGACCACTATTATCTCTTTTCCCAACTAACACCACTGTCTGTAACAAGTACAAGCGTCATTCTTAGATGTCAAACTTGTGTATTTGTGTTTTCTGCAGACCGCCCCGAAAATCTTCGGTGGAGAAATCAAGTCCCACATCCTCATGTTCCTGCCCAAAACTGCTAAAGACTTTGATGACAAAATGGACGAATTTAAGAAAGCCGCAGAGGGATTCAAGGGCAAGGTGTGTGAACCGTCTCAAAAGTGCCTTCCAAATGTGACCAACATTCAGTATTGAATCTTACACTTTGCTCAGATAGGATGTTTTGAATGACCACTTCCGTCTCGCCCTCCCAGATCCTGTTCATCTTCATCGACAGCGACGTGGATGACAACCAGCGCATCCTGGAGTTCTTCGGCCTGAAGAAAGAGGAGTGCCCCGCCATCCGCCTCATCACTCTGGAGGACGAGATGACCAAGTACAAGCCCGAGAGTGAGGCCATCACAGCAGAGAGCATCATCGGCTTCTGCAAACTGTTCGCTGAGGGCAAACTCAAGGTGAGAGGAGGACTGGTTAGTGATGGCAGCACATGTATGTCATGGAGAAACGTGATTTTAATATTGAGGTATTTCTCCTCCCCCAGCCCCACCTCATGAGTCAGGACATCCCTGAAGACTGGGACAAAACCCCCGTCAAGATTTTGGTTGGAAAGAACTTTGAGGAGATCGTCTTCCATCCCTCCAAGAACGTCTTTGTGGAGTTCTGTAAGAGCCTCTTTTTTCCCTTGAATTGTCATAACTTGCTGTTGTGAAGGTGTCCATCTGACTAGAGGGGCATTTTGCAGTCAAAGCTCTGCTGCTCAGTTGGTGGGAGACTTTGTTTTCCCTTTATTACTTTCCCCCCGTGCTAAGCCCCTTCCAAATACCAAGCCTTGATGCCCACTCACCCTCACAGCCCACCCTCTGACTTGGTTACCAGACCCTTAAAAAAAAGGCTTATACAGTGATCCACATCTAAAGGTGCACTATTTTTGGAGGAATTTTCCATCGCTGGCTATTTAAATACAGATTATAGTAATGCTCGGTGGGGTATTCCCTGAGAGCAAATGGAATGGGGGTGGCGGATTTCCTGGCCAGTCTGGCCAGTCTAAGGGGAACAGGGTCATGAATCTGAGGCTGCATGCATCAACTCACCACAGCATAAAGGAACATTTCAACAAAATCCACATTTCCCTTTTATCTGTAGTGTTGTCTATTACTCTGGATAGTTTTGGTTTGAGTGTCAGTGTTGGGGCTAAAGGCAATAGAGGTGTGTTCCTTGTCTGAAATATACTGGAACTACATGGCATTCTGCTTGTTGTCCTCAAAGCGCCATAACAAAAATTAAAAAAACTCAACAGCATTGCCTCTTCCTGACCCGGGAGACAATCCACAGACCTTGTTGTGAGCAGTTTCGTGTAAAACCCATGTTCTTTTTCAGAGGATTGAGATTTAAGAACAATAATGTTGTCCTCCTCGCCTGATCAGCAACATTAGCGAGCAACGTGAGCTCACAGAAGATGCATGCTTTCTTCCTTACTGTGAAAATAGAAAAACAGTTCCTACATAAAACGGCTCACAGCAAGGTCTGATCACCACCAGCTATGCCCCATTTAGTTCTGTTAAATTAGGGATGAAATGAAACAATCTGAATGTGTTTTACTACCAAGTAGCTTTACACTTACCAGGAATTTGCTTTGGTATAAATGTTGCATGCAAAGACACAGATAGAAGAATATGTGGTAAAACAAAAAACATTTACTCATAATATAATAAATGGAGAAACTGAGTACAGTAACATATAATGAAATATGACAAATACTATATTCAAAGTGGAGAGCTGTGCAGATTTAAACAGAGGTAGTGTGTTTTTCTGGGATGGATAATAAGAGGCTGTAATGAAATATCACATGATATTTTTAATTCTCATCAGTGAACGAGCCAGTATCCAGTATATTTAGTCTGTTAATAACTCTAAATGACTTTTCCAGATGCACCTTGGTGTGGACACTGCAAACAGCTGACTCCCATCTGGGAGAAGCTGGGAGAGAAGTTTATGGACAGCGCTGACATCGTCGTGGCTAAAATGGACTCCACAGCCAATGAGATCGAGACGGTCAAGGTCCACAGTTTCCCCACCCTCAAATTCTTCCCCGCAGGAGACGAGCGCAAGGTGAGCGTTTCCCACCAACATTAGATATTCTGAAATACAATATCTTTTGGCATCATCTCGCTCATCTTCAGGATCTCCTGTACATAAACCGTGGCCGGATTGGCTTGTCACTAGCGCCTCTTGATTTGGCAGCATGTTTAGAATCTGAGATTGCTGGCCGCGTGAGTTTCTGCACGATTATGTTGCCGTTTGGTTCTTAAAGATTCCTACCTGATGACTTCACTCTCTGCTCAGCCTGCACCTGCCTCTCACCATGCCAACTGTCAGTTTAGCCATCTGAAATGAGTGTTTTATCGTCGGGCCACCCCAAGCTCATGATTCTTCTTAGAAGAAACCAACATAAGACTCAAGAGCAGGAGCCATGAATAGCTGTGTGGCAGGCCGGTCATTATTGTCATGAAATGCAAGCATAGACAATAATTGATCAGTTCAGAGGTCGTTTGAGTGCAACTTTTGAGAAACCGGAAGCATTGCCACATTTTATGAGTGGCCAAGACCCTGTTTAGACTTACTTTTTTATTAAAGCTGTCGCACTGTGATCGGTTTACCCAAGATTTATATTTAAAGCGTCATCAAGACACAAAACATTCAAATCCCTCGGGGGTGGTCTGAGATGCATTTCACCACGTATATTTTGTAGTGTAACAACGCTAATATAGACCTAAAGGGAAAATGTGACAGATGTTCCTTTTTTTTTTTTATCACCAGTTGGTTTTCAAATTGTGTAAGCTTGCTTTGTCTCAAATGTTCAAACTGTCCTTCGAGAGGTACTATGAGTTCGTCGAACAATTGGACCAGCCTGCATCACAACAAGGACTAGTCCCAGCCTGTATTATTTTAATTTCTTCCAATTTCATTCCCTGAAACACAAGTTAAAAACAACACATTTGGTCTTTGCAAATGGAAATAATCATGAGTTTTATTGGTTTATATGGATCTGCTCCAAAGTGTTGCCTTTTTCTTTTTGGAACACATGCACTCGTGTTTGCATCTTCTAGACTTTTTGCTTGGGCTCAAGTCAAAACACAATCTTTGACGTTTTACCAAAAATCATGTCTGGTCAACAGGTGATCGATTACAACGGGGAGAGAACACTGGAGGGCTTCAGTAAGTTCCTGGAGAGCGGCGGTAAAGATGGTGGCGCCCCCGCAGGAGACGACGATGACGATATGGATGCAGAGGTAAGATCAACAGAGACCTCAACCCCTGATCCCAAATCCTGATCAAAGCCGTCTGATGACTGAACATCTGTTCAGATCATCTTTATGTCTTTTCCACACAAATGTATGCACTCAGTGTTCTGTAAGACTGTTTACATGTATCTTAGTACACAAACAAACACAGCTATTCTGATACCAAACACCAGTGGGGATTTATCCATATTGAGGAGGTGCTCCATTAGTGAGGAAACTGGAGATAGTTGTGACTAAAACAAGAGCAACAGCTGCTGCTGGATCCATCTGTTCATAGGCTGGTTGTTCCCATCCATTGTTTCACGACTAATCAGTGTTGAGGGAATGGCTTTATGCTACAGTTGCATTGTTTAAAATAAAGCCTAATGTTTTCAACACAATATATTCAATACTTAAACCTTGTCAGAAAGTAATCACTTAAGATGTGGATATAAAATAATGCCAACAATGGCAGCCAACCTAAACTATTTCAAGGAGAGTCTCTGTTGTATTATTATGTTTTTATTTTTGCATTACTATTCATTGTGTTTTTAAAATCTGTATTTCTGCACATCTGATTATTAGGCTGCTTTATACTGGTTTTACCCTCTCTGCATAGGATTGTTTTTCACTCATGTTTTCATTTCCAATAACTCTAGAGCAGGGATGAGCAAATGGCGGCCCGGGGGCCCCCCCACCAACTCTTTTTGCGGTCCTCAGATTAATTTATAAACAACGTAATTAATAAGGGTTAGGTTTTTTTTTTTTACTTGTAGTACTGATACCGTCCACTAGACTCCAAGTTACATCGTCAGCTGCGTACATGATTTCGTTAGGCAGCTAAATACCGCAAAATAATCTGACGCGTTTGTGTGTATTGTGTTTGTTTCCCGGGGAAACACTCACAAGAAACACTGGCTGTTGTTATGCCTGCTGTGACGTTAAGTTACCGCTTGTAATTATGCCGTTACAAGCTTAAAAGTTGTATTTATCATCTGAATTTGGCGAAACAAGTTTAATATTATAAAAACCAAGACTTTGTTTATTTGAAATCAGATGAAAAAAAACTGTCACGGACGCTGCCGTGTTATCTATGATTACAATACGCTTTTCACTCGGGTTGACATTCCCCTCATTGTGGAATAAGGGGAATGCAGACAGGCTGCAAGTGTCTTAGGTTCAAGTTAGACAACTAATGTCTGGGTTAGTGTTCATGACTTCATTTTTGTCATACTAATGGTTAATCTCAACGCACACACATTTTCCGTGCTTTCCAATAGTTTAAAATAGTTTTATTCCAATGTTAAATAACCTGTTCAATACAAAAATGCCACTTGTTAATAATTACATACAATACATGGAATTTGTGTGTGTGTGTTCCAAGTGAATCTGCGGCCCCCTGGTGGCCAGTACATAAATTATGTGGCTCCCACCATCATCCAAGTTGCCCATCCCTGCTCTAGAGCAAAGGTCTACATTTATTGAGAAAAGATATAGATAATCATTTTGACAATTCAAAACATGGTTTTCATCCAAGCAAATCTTCAATCAATATTTTTTGGCTTTTAGTCTTTTCAAAAACATTTTCACTCATACACTCTCCTACTTGCTGCACAGAGGACTATCAGCAATCCAACTGCACTATGAATTACATTTATGGAAGTATAATTTAAAGAAGTCTTACACCATTTAGAATAAATCCCTTTTTAATTTTCTTTACGTTGTAGAACTGAAAGAAAATAATTGTACTTATTAAATTCAAATTGAGGATTTTGTTTCAGAATGACATCTCCCTTTTATGGTGTCATCCTAAAATATGACACAAATATGGGAACACTGGTGCTTTTATTTGTATTAATATACCTTGTATTTTTTTTTTCTAATATGGTGTAACTGTCATGTAATGTATTTTGGTTGACAAAATATTGACACTGACATTTTTGAAAATCATCAGGAATAGGGACATGATTGAGGGTAAAGAATAGAAGGGAATGTATTGACAACACTGATGCCATAGTTTAATATCTGTATGATAAAAATGTATAGCTCGGCCACGGCGCTCGCTGTAGAGAAGACCTGAATGCTTCTGTCTTAACAACCCTCTGCTCGGCCACTCCAGGATTTAGATGATGTGGACGAAGGACAGGACATGGATTCTGATGGCGAGGACGACGACGGTCACGACGAGTTGTAAGAGCTGGCAGAGGAGAGAGAGGAGACGAGTCCCGCCCCTACCCTCCGACCATCACCACCATCACTTCCTTGTGGCCCTCCCCTCCCCTGTGAACATTAATACTTCCCCTTTAACTTCCTCTCAGTCATCCATCAGTGGCGTGGCAGGGCTTTTTTTTTTTTGCCAGCCACATCTCCAACCTCACAACATCTGGCCAGACTCGTCTTGTCCCACCG